CACCAAACGCAACTTTCAGACGCCATCTTTATTTTTTTTATCCCAACCGTCATGTGATGGAACGCACAGGATTGTGGGATATCAAAGGCAGCGAAGGATACATCTATGCTGCCTTCAAAATTCGATCAGAAGAAGGTACCTTCGGAGACAGGAAGTGAAGCAGAATTTATATTCGGACGTGCCTTCATGCCTTGAAATGCTGCCTCCGAAGGCAGCATTTTAGAGCTTTCGGACGCAGCGCAAGTCAGTCTTACTAGGCCTGCCGTTTTGATTCTCATGCAGTGTGACGTCACATTGCATAGGGGCGGGCCACGGGGGTTGATTGACAGCCCTGCATTGCTATAGTTTCCGCCCTCAACGGTTGTACGCTGTCCTCCATTTTCTCCGCGCTCGAGCAGCTGTAACGTCAACCAAGTCTCCTAAGCAATCCCCATGCTCTGTGTTTGGATGCAAGACTGAACATAAAAGTCTTCATTTTCTCCCAACAGCTGAGCTGCTGTGGATTACTTTTATTTTAAAAGGTAATGCGCCTCAAAATCTACCTAAATATGTGAATCACTCCTGCTTCTACCAGCTGTTTATTGCTGTATATATGCAATGCAGAGAGATGTATACGCGACGCCCTCTTCTGGAGACTGGGCGGGAATGCAGCTCATTTACATTTAAAGCAATACACTCCAAAACAGCTCTTTTTTTAGACACACCCCAAAAATGACATTTTCCAGCTGTTATAATAAATGATCTGTTGGGTATTGTGGGCTGAAACTTCACAGACACATTCTGGGGACACCCAAGACCAATATTATATCTTGTAAAAAGGGGCATAATTGGTGCCCTTTAATGTAATTTAATTTGAAATGACTTGAAATTAAATGACAACCAAGTTGATTATATTTAAAAATTCAAGGAACATTTTATTTATATTTTGCATGCAAAGTTACCCTCTCCAGTAAGTGAATTATGCATATGTATATGTGTGTGTGTGTGTGTGTGTGCGTGCGTGTATATAATTATATATGTTATCATAATACAAATATTATAATAATATATAATATATATTATATTGCAAGATATGACAACAATGTTCCACTGTTTGGCTACGTTCACACTGTCAGTTTTTGGGATTGACAACCGCATTTTCTTTACAGGTGTGAGTCTCGAAATGCCCCATTCACACAGCAGCTTACACTTGTGTTTAGAATACTGTCTGTATGAACGTGCAAGGGAAGTCAAACCCATATTCCTTACCAGTAACCTAACCATAGCGACAGTCCGTGCGTTCCAAACGGGATATATCGCCCTCCCAAGGGCACTTCGGAGTGAAAACAATCA